GATGAAACTAATTGATATTTGCTTTTTTTTCTTCACTTGGGTGTAGAATCAGTTTTTTTTTCAGTTAAACTTTCAGTTAACATTCATTTAGGAACATATGGAGAAGAAATAAATTGGCCTCATATGTAATGGGGATAAGTTATTTTGCATTTTTAAGCAGAAATAATTGAGGATAAAAGCATTTCAAAAACTGAAAACAGCATTTAGAAGCTTAACGATGTTGGGTACACTTGAAACCGTATTTTTGCAAACCGAAACATTTCTGGCACAAAATTTGCTCTATACTGTCAAAAAATCATTCAGTTATAATCCGTTAAATGCCAAGATTTTAAGTTTTTCTCTCTATCTACTAACCTTAGGTTTTCTTTTATTTTTGATTGTATTTTACAGATAAATAGTAATACCCTTTCCGCTTTTGTTTGTTCATTTTTTTAAAAATAAAGTTTGAGAATTAGTTGGCAATTTTTTGTCTTTTTAATTTCAATAACGAGTTTAAAAATTCTTTTTATAACAGCACAGAAATTTGTAAGTTTATTCTTTTTTTTTTTTTGAACGGGTATTGATTTTGTTCAGTGTTAAATTTGAATTTCTAATTTTTTAGTAGTCTTTTGTTTTGATTGGTCATAGAAAGTAATCATTGATATAACTGTGTGAATTTCAGTGTTGCAGTTTCGGCAAGAAACGAACGAGCTGTATTGTATAATCGAAATTCGAAAACGGTAAAATCAGAGAATAATTTATCCATTTATGATCGACAGTTTAAAATTGCTGCTGTAGCAGCAGTTCGTTTACCGTTGTTTATGAAATTACTACAGGTTAGCGGTGTTTATTATTTCTTATTCTTCTTCATTTTGTTCTTTTTTTTATTCTCTCAAATTTATATTGTACAGCGGTGTATAATACAGTATTATTATTGACAAATTTTTTTTAGATCACTAATTTGTTGGGAGGAGACATTTTGCAACTTTAACCAAATATCATTTATTTTTAGGCACATTTACCCTGTGGTGTAAAGTTGACGATAAAAAAACATGAAAAAGCTGATGAGGAGTATCGTTATATTCCGGATTTGTTGTTGAAACAGAAACAAGATGAATTGAGAAGTCTTGATGATCCGTTGGTGAGGAAAGCATTAGGTTGGGAATAGGATACAGGATGGTTTGTTAATTTTTTTTTTCTTGTTTTATTGTTTCTGTATCGTCGTTTGATCGGCCAGATAAGTGATAGTTTTGTCAGCTTACCTCATTTAAAGAGAAGTTGATGATTAGGTTTTTTTTGCTTTTTATTTTTTTCATTTTTTATTCGTCTAATTATGATGTATTTGTATTCTTTTTTCCGGTGCAAAACAATTGCCCATTAATAGTTTTACATCAAATTTAATTTGTGTTCTGTTTTTTTTTTTTTTTTTTTTTTT